CTGCTGCTGAATTCACAAGCAGGCAAGAGACAACTTGGCGAACTGAAACATCTTAGTAGCCAGAGGAAAAGAAAGCAAAAGCGATCTATCTTTTCCCACAAAGTTTTTTGCATGTGTCTCATTAGTAATATGATTATAAACATTTTCTTTCATATATCGTCAAATAAAACCACATACCTGTTGATGTTCAAACGCTCATATTGTCGAATAAAACCACACAGAATCCGACTTCGCGGAACTAAAAATCGGTAAATGTAACTTCTTCACAAATAGTAAGTCTTTCATCCTACCTTTCCGTAATTGGTAATTAGAACCATTCAACAATACCATCTTTATTTTTGTATTTGACTCCATCATTCAAATAAGAAAAATAGGTCTTGACCAAAAGCTCTGATAGAGATGCTACTCTAACGGAAAATTAAGACACAATAGTAGACCAATACGTTGCCGATAAAAAATTTCTCACACTTTTAGGAACCTCGAAGATGAACAACAAATATTAGACGGCAAACTGGAGAAATAAAAGCGCAAAAGAACACTGATATTTTAACGTGGAAAACTCCTCAATATGAGAGTAAAAACCACGACTCGTCCAGATCAAAAAAATATTTCTACTATAATAAATCAAGGTTACAAGAGACTATTAAAGTCATTTACAAACTAGTGCTAACAACCACAAATCACAAAGCAAACTAGTTTACAAATAAGAATACAAAAGCTAAAAAAATTACCTAAATCTGCAGGTTCAGTGTGAAGCAGATATCTTTCGGCAATACTTTGTTTTGAAATTCTGAACAATCAAAAAGTTAGATACATGTGTTGCAAACATTCTCTTCAAATTTGAGCTCGATCCGACGCTTAACGAATCAAGGACCGTCGATTTAGTGAGACTGATTGCAGAAAAACAAGAATATGTTTCTCTCATATTTTATCTCTTTTGAATTCTTAATTTCTCTCTATCTTTAAATCTTAAATTGATCCTCTCCAATTAAATAAATGAGACAAATAAACTAATCATATTTAGTTCTTTCTCCATATAAAAAAGGAGCTCAAACTCAACAATATAACCATATCTTCAAAAAAATATTAGAGACATTTCTGAGTCAAGCTCTGCTCTTTTGTGCTGTGAATCCATAACTGACACTGATGTGGAAAGAGGCAATTTGAGATGTAGAAGGGCCATTGAAGATGTTCCATCAAAATTGAGTAATTATCTAAAGAAATTAGGTGTTCAGGGAGATGATGAAGAGGGTATTTGGCGTATCTTGAGGAAATTGGATAAGGAAGATAAGGAAGTTAGGTCAGGCAAGAAGGATGTAGCTACATGTGGTCCATGAATATCGTTTCTTTCAATGTTAGAGGATGTTGTAGTTCTTTGGAGAGAAGGAGAATTTCTCAAATTCTGCAGAGAAGTAGTGCTGGCATCTGCCTTATTCAGGAAACCAAGATAATTAAGATGGAGGCTGGTATTGCTTATAGCCTGTGGAGGAATAATGATATGGACTGGACAGCTCAGAACTCGTCTGATAGATCTGGTGGTATCATTACAATGTGGAATACTACTAGAATCTCAGCTTGCTCAAGTTTTCGTGGTAAAGGTTTCTTGGGATTGCACAATGTTTTGAATAATCAAAGTTTGATTATAATCAATGTTTATCCCCCCTGTGGGTCAGCTGAAAAGAGGAATCTGTGGAGAGATCTGATTAAAGTTAAAAGTAATTTTTCTGGTGTTGGTTGAATTGTGTGGGGGGGGGGGGGGGGATTTCAAAGCGGTGAAAAATAGGGAGGAAAGGAAAGGTTTAAGTGGTAACAGTAGTAGGGATATGAAGGATTTTAGTGAGTTCATCGAAGCATTGAATGTGATGGATCTTCCGGTTTTTGGAAATCGGTTCACATGGTTCAATTCTAATGGTAAGAGCAGAAGCAAACTGGACATAATTTTGGTTGATGATCAGGTTATTTCCTTGTTATCCTTGAAGAATTAAGTGGTAGGAGATAGAGGTGTATCGGATCATTGGCCTGTGTGGTTGAAGTCCAACTTCGTCAATTGGGGTCCTAAACTTTTTAGGACCTTTAACTAATGGTTCTCTCACAAGGAATTCATCCCTTTTGTCATGAAATCGTGGAACTCGTATCACTTCACAGGATCTTCCTGCAACATCCTGACTAAGAAACTTCAATCCCTTAAAACTGATCTCAGGAATTGGAACTACAATGTTTTTGGATGGTTGGAGCTAAAGATTGAGGATAATATTAAAAAGTTCAACTAGCTGGAGTTGGATTCTGTTGTGGACTCTGAATCCCAAGCTGCAGAATTGGATAGGGAGAGGTTGCGATACCAGGAGGAAATGTGGAAGAACCTTAGGCTTAAAGAAAGTATGTTGGCCCAGAAATCCCGGATAAGATGGTTGCAAGACGGGGATCTAAACACAAAATTTTGTCACGATTCTTTAAAATCTAGGAATTGTTCGAATCGTTTATCAGCTGTTAGAGTGGGAGGTAGAATTGAGGATGATCCCGAGGGTATTAAGTCTGAAGCCGTGAATTTTTTAAAGGAAAAATATCCGCAACTAGACTCGTTTAAGTTTAGAAGCGAGTTTGACTTGGCTGCTTGTCTTGATGAGGAGGACAAATTGTTCTTGGAAGCAAACTTCAGTTCTGCTGAAGTGAGAAAGGTTGTGTTTAGCTGTGACGGTAACAAGTGCCCTGGTGTTGATGGTTTTAATTTTAAATTAATCAAATCTTGCTGGGATATAGTTGGCCAGGATTTCAAGAACTGTATCCTGGAATTTTTCAAGATAGGTTTTCTCCCAAAGATGTTCGCGTCTTCTTTCATATCGCTGGTGCCGAAGATTAACAACCCTAAACATTTTGAAGATTTCAGGCCAATAACTCTTGTCAGCTGTGTTCTCAAGGTTATCTCCAAGATGCTTGCCTGCAGATTGAGCAAGGTTATCCACAAACTTATATCTCCCTCTCAAACAACTTTCATTCTGGGGCGGAAAATATATGATGGGGTTCTTCTGGCTAATGAAATAACAGACTATGCTAAGAGGTTCAACAAGGAGTGTCTATTTTTTAAAGTCGATTTTGCTAAAGCTTACGATTGTGTTGATTGGTCTTATCTTGATGGTTTGCTTGTTAAGATGGGCTTTGGTATTAATTGGTTAAAATGGGTTTGTGGCTTTGTGTTCAAAAGCTACGTGTCGATTCTAATTAATGAAAGTCCATCGAAGGATTTTAAGGTTGGCAGGGGGCTGAAGCAGGGCGACCCTTTAGCTCCGTTCTTGTTCGCCATCGTAGATGAGGGCTTGTCAAGCTTGGTGAGATCCCCAGTTGCCGCTAATTTGATAACAAAATTCAAAATCCATGATCAAGCCACTGTGAGCATGCTTCAGTTTGTCGACGACACTCTGCTTATAGGAGATGATTCGGTTATAAATATTTGGGCATTCAAGGCTATTCTGTGTGCTTTTGAATTAATTTCTGGTCTAAAAATTAATTTCTCTAAAAGTTGTCTGTATGGGATAGGAGTAGATCCTGCTTATCTTGAAGCTGCTGAAGTGTTTTTGCACTGTAAATCCAACAGGCTGTCGTTCAATTTCCTTGGTCTTATCGTTGGAGGTAACCATCGCCACTACTCCTTTTGGAACCCGGTGTTGTCTTGCCTGAGGAATAAGCTCTCAAATTGGGTTGGGAGAAATTTGTCAATGAGAGGTAGAGTATCTCTCATTAATTCGGTTATAGTTAATCTGCCTATTCATCACTTGGCTTTTTTCAAGGCTCCCAAAAAAGTAGTGAACGAAATTATCGCAATCCAACGTCGGTTTTTATGGACTGGGAATTCCAGCAAAAAAATCATCTCTTGGATATCTTGGAACTCAGTCTGCAAATCGAAGGATCACGGATGTCTTGGAATTAAACACGTAGGTCACTTTAATTGTGCTCTTATAGCAAAATGGTTGTGGAGATTTCAAAGCGGTGGAAACGAAATTTGGAGGAAGACCCTCACCTTCAGATACGGTAATCTGAGTATTAAGGCTCAAACTTTTGTCGATGTTGGTAGTTTGAAATCCAACTAGATCAAACTTTTAGTTGGAGGATGGCGCTTGATAGGCTGTCTGCTAGATCAAATTTGATGAAAAGAAGGGTGATGGATAATGCCCAACACTTGGATTGTGCGTTCTGTACGCGGAGTTACGAGGAAGTCTCCCACCTTTTTTTCACGTGCATCAAATCCTCGTTGGTTTGGAAAAAGATTTGCGACTGGGTGGATATAGATATCATCTCAGAGGCTTGTTGTAATCTTCATGCGAAGGTTTGGAACTCGAGTGTTAGTGGCCGTTGTCAAGCGAACAAGATCAATTCTATATGGTTTATTACATGCTGGATTATATGGAGGGCTAGAAATAACATAATATTTAATAATGAAACCATTGAAGTAGATGACATTGTTTTCGAAATTAAATTTTTCTCGTGGAATTGGTTGATTTTAGGAAGAGAGGAGAGTAAGCAGTGTAGATTGTATGAATAGTTTAAATTCCCGTTCGACTTTTTGTAATAGTTTTGACTTTGGTGTTGGTTGTTTTCTTGCTGGTCTGAGATTTGCTTAATCTCTTTTTTATAATATTTGCTTATAAAAAATATTAAAAAAAATCGAGACATACATATTTATAAATATTTATAAATTAGACACTTGTAATAAGACTAATGGAGTATTATTTTTACTTTTTACGGATAAATGAAGTATTATTATTTACTTTTGAAAAAGAAATTATAAATGACTAGGAGTGGTCGAGAGTTGATTATATGCCTTTTAACATTTTTTACATGATATTATTTTAGAATTGCAACGACATTAACTTTTATACTCAATTTTGAGGTGAAAAATATTTGATTCAAATCTCATTTAAATTTGGTATATACTCATACACATGGCTACAAATAATCATTGTAATTATATGCATGAATTACTCAATTCCACATTTTATCTCCCTAAATCACACATGATAATTCTCCAACTGGACATCTTTATCCTTCAACGCCTCATACTCTCCATGATAAACTTCCAGATGCTCAGACAAAGCAGACTTATCAATACTCTGATGATGATAAGACTTACAAACAAAATAAAGCACCGTTTGTACAACAAGTCCAACCAGAAACAAGTGCGGCAACAAAACCACACATAGTATCCCAGACACTGTTCTCCCAACAAAACTCAATCCCCAACCTCCAACAACAACCTTTGTAAACAAAAACTGTATCCCAAATATTGAAACACTTAGCATCAAAAATATAACTATTGACAATCCCATTTTCCCTTTTATCAATTCATTGCTCTTCATCATAGCTTCAACCCCATAAGAGTCTTCTAAAATAGTCACAACACTAGCTAATTGCCAAACTACGGTAAGATATAAAAACCCAACAAAGTATAAGGTTCCTATAATTACTAGAATCACAACACCACCGCTGTTATATCCAATTAAAAGTGCCCAAATAATGAAAACTAGTATTGCCATAATATTATAAACAAAAAAAGCTAAAAACGTGCATAAGAAAGTGACCATGAGTCTCTTCCAAACCCTTGGAACAACACTCATGACAGTTTTGAAACTCACATCTCTTGCAGTGAAAATAGATGCTACGGTATAGACTACTGCAGAGGTTGATAAGAGAGAGAAGATTAGAAGAAAAGTGAAGTAAACGAGTTTAAAGAGTAAGAAAGTGGTCCATTCAGAAGAGATTATGTCAGAAAGTTTTTTGTATTGAGGAGTGCCTTGTGGTGTGTCGATTATTTCTACTGTGTTGGTCATGATTTTTCTGAAGAGGATGTTGGATACTTCGATGTGGATTAGGAAGATGAAGGAGAGAGGGAGAATGAGAGTTAAGGCAATTTGGCTGAAAATTTTGCTACATGAAGTTATGATCTTGATGGATTCTTTGTAGATTCCGAAGAGTCCTAGAAATTGCATCTCTTCTTGTTCTCTGTCCATGGCTATGTTTTTTTTCTTTCAACTGCTGCTTTTGTTTTGGTTTTACTTACAATGATGAATCAAAAGTTTGTGTTTATATAATGTAAACAAATTTGACTCGGCCTGAATACGCTATATATGAAAGTTATGGTCAACGGTTAAGTAGTTTTGATTGGTTGAAGAAGGATTACATTTTGGTGTTTTATTTAGATGAAGCCAGGTCAAACAAAAGACTAAATCAAGAGAAGGGCAATGATTCAAAACATTGATAACGAAAGAGCATGCAGCATGCTGGGATAGACTGCCTGCCAGGTTGAATAAAAACTAACAGTCCACATTTTTTTTTGAAGAAAAGTCTCTAGTTTATGGACAAGTGATTACTTGCTAAGTATACGATGGATCTTGCTAGAATAGGATAGATCTTGATAGTAGTATTATATCTAGATTATGTGTCAACGAGGAAGCAAGAACAATTTTCATGAAAAGAACTTCATTGTGGGAAAGGTTTGAGGCTGATATCTCGGAAAAGTATCGTATTCCCGACTCAATTTATATGTTATTTTGTTTCTTTTCCTTTGTCTTTTTATGATTTTATGTTTGTAGTTTCAAGTATTTTACTTGTAGGAGTTTTCGTGCCAGAAAATGGTGCGAAACGACGGAAAAAAAAACGAAATAGGGATTATGCACTGTCATGATGGATCCACTGCCAGCATGATGCTTGTCATAACGTGACAACATGAAGACCCTCACAACTAGAAGACAAAATTTGAAGAAATTGAGCGCCAACTGGATGACGAATAGATCGTCATCTAGATGACGCCCGTCATTTTCCCTGATTTATGTCTGACAAGGCGTCAGCACCATGACGCCCGTCATAGTGTTAAAACTTAGATTTTCACGCCACCACCATGTCTCTTTTCCCTTTTAATGTTTCTTCTTATCAGATTTGGAGGCTTTTAACTTCTGATAACCACCACCATGTCTCTTCTTGGCCTCTGACCAAGATTGCTTTTGATTCTTCTTACTAGAATATGCTTTTAGAGCCTTCTCTACCTCTCTTTCCGAGTTTCTATCAGTCATACGTAAATCTTGTGCCTCTAGACTACTTTGCAGCTCTTCGATTCTCATGTTGTTGAGGTCCTTAGAGTGATCAATTGCTACAAAAATATAATCAAACTGAGGAGTAAGTGATCTCAGTATTTTTCAACGATTACTTGTTCAGAGAGAGCTTCTCCAAAAGATTTCCTCTCATTTGTAATCACAATCACTCTAGAGATGTAATCAGGTACATTCTCTTTGTTCTTCATGTTGAGATTCCCATGCTGCTTACATATATACTGAAGATTCACCTTCTTCATTGATGTATCACCGCCAGAACACTGTACTAGTGTGTCCTATGCATCCTTCATCGTTGATTAATCAACAATCTTCTCAAACATATTCCTATCCACACACTGATGGATATATAACAACTCCTTTTGATACTTCTTCCTCATTTCTCTCTGCACATTTACTTGTGCTTCATTTGCATATTCTACAATCAGCGTGTGACTGTCATTGACGAGATCAAGAACATCTTGAGCACCAAACAACACACGCATCTGAATCGTCCATCGATTCCAATTCTTTCCATCAAAGATTATAACATTTGTGTTTAAGCTTCTATTCTCGTCGTTCATCTTTGATCTTGTGTAAATTCACTCAAAAACTCACCAACACTCTTGTTAACCAATCACTCAGAATCAAAAAATGTGATTGTGTTTCGATTCAGATCTTCAATTCATTATGAATTGAATTAGTATAATCAATCACACACGCTTCATGTGATTGTGTTTCGATTTAGATCTTCAATCCATTCCTGAATCTGAACCGGAGCTCTAGATACAAATTTTTGGAAAACAAGGTTGAAGATGGAGAAGATGATGAAGATAGATAGATAGATAGATAGATAGATAGATAGATAGATAGATAGATAGATAGATAGATAGATAGATAGATAGATAGATAGATAGATAGATAGATAGATAGATAGATAGATAGATAGATAGATAGATAGATAGATAGATAGATAGATAGATAGAGAGAGAGAGAGAGAGAGAGAGAGAGAGAGAGAGAGAGAGAGAGAGAGAGAGAGAGAGAGAGAGAGAGAGAGAGAGAGAGAGAGAGAGAGAGAGAGAGAGAGAGAGAGAGAGTTGAAACTAATTTTTTCAACCTCTAACAAAAACTGTTACAATGAGTTCTAACTAATTGAATGTAAGTTCGGTTTATATACAAGTTCCAAATCTAAGATGAAACTCAAATGTAATCTAAACTCAAATGACACTTAAATGAAAAATAACTAACTACTTGAATTTGAATTACAATTAACACATATGACTATGCAACAAAATCCAGTATTTGATCTTCATTGAGATTTATAAGGATAATAATGAAGAAGCTTTAAAACTTTTCAACAAATTTGTATTTGTACGCTGAAACAAAACCAATCTAAAATTAAGAAATCTGTATTTTATACCGAGAGGAAAACGTGAGTGCAACTTTCTGTTAGATGTATTTTGTATGTTGTCAAAACTAGGATACTTTAGCTTTAATGTAAATTGGATGGTAGCCTCTGATTCTCAATGTGCATCTTAAGCATTAGGAAGCATAAAATGATTTGGAAATAAGTTGGAAAAGGTTTCATGAATCAAAAACATTTTTTGTGAAAAATTAACCTATGGGTCGACACATGCATACTTCAGGTCAACACATAGAAGAAAAAATTTTCTTATGTGTCGACACATACGTTCTATAGGTCGACTCACGTACTGCATTATTGAAGCATGTAGGTTCTGTTAGATGTTTATGCTCTATAGGTCGGCACATGACCTTCACATGTTGACGCATGACCTATACAGGTCGACACATGCGTCGAACAGGTCGGCACAAACTTTCATAGGTCGAGTTGTGCAATGTAATTTTCCAAAAATTTGCAATTTTCTTCAAATATTTTGCATTCCTATGCCTCATAATATGCATACTTATAAATACTTCATGCCTGCATCATTTTTTTATGATTTTGGTAAAATCATAAACAAAATTTAGAACATACTAAGAGTCCTCAACATCTTCAACCTTGGTTTTATGCATACAGACAACAAAGTACTCGTAATCATTCGTTGTTTGGATGCCATTTAAATCAAGTTGATAAGGTCCAATTTAGCATGTGGTATTGTAAATTGGGTTGAGATCTTAGGGGGGTTTCAAATAAAGAAAACCAAGGTGGGGTTTTTCTTCAAGATCAAAGTGGGGGTTTAAAGGTTTTGGACAAGATTACTCAAGTTTAGATTCGATCAAGTGAAGACTTTGAAGAGTTGTGGTTCTTACAAAGGAGTAGCGTGATAAGTTAGATCATCTTGGTAAATTTTAGGTTACAATAATTTGCAATTTGGATTTTATCGGGTGAAGGCTTTGAAAGGTTATGGTTCTTGCAAATGAGCAGCATGAGACGATGAATCAAATTGGCATTGTTTGGTGAACTGCCTACACAAATCCTTGTGTATTCTCTCTCTCTCTGTCTCTCTCTATCTCTCTCTCTCTCTCTCTCTCTCTCTCTCTCTCTCTCTCTCTCTCTCTCTCTCTCTCTCTCTCTCTCTCTCTTACATGTTGTTTGCAAATTAATTCTCTTGATAAATTCTTTTGAAATATTTTTTGTTGAATTGATCACACTCATTTTGATTTTGATTAGATTTTAAGATCAAAAAAGTCATACAAATTTCCAAACAAAATTGATTGCACACAAGGTGTTCGATAATTTGTCTCTATTCATTTTTGGTGTGAATTATCAGTGGATATAGAATTTCTTGTTGATTAGTTTTCAATAGATTGTGATTGAAATTATTGATTACATAGCTTCTTATTATCATCGATTTGATTACATAGCCATCATTTTTTTAAAACACTTTTTGTAAAGAAATTTTTATTTGGGGATATATTCAACGCTCCCTTTAAATAAGTCGCATTCGTTTAACAAAAAAGAAGTATGTGTTCAAGAAAATATGAAAATGTTGTTGTTGGAGATCGAATATCTATGACCAGTTAAATCTTTTCCTTTGAATTATAGTTCTAACAAGGAGAAAATTGACGCACTTTTCATGACACACTTCTCTATCCCGCTTAGAAAACAAACAAAAAACTCTTTCTTAATCAAAGAAAAATCACTTCTTCATAGTAATTAGTGAAAACGTTGAATGCCGCTTGGCTAAAATACAAGTAAGAGAGATAATACAGGATTCATGGGCTTAGCATTGAAAGCACTTGGGTGCTCATTATAGACATGATGGTAGGTACAAAGAAGATAATGTCTATTTTCTTCTTAATATATGAAAAATCATCCTTACTCTCTTAGAAAAATATTATATTTGCATCAACAATTGACGGGATTCAACGCATATGAGACTCATGTTTTGGATAGACGATGTCATATTGACATGCAAATTGTGAAAGCTGATAAAAACCCCTTCGATGTTTGATATTTATTATATTCCATCTCATTCAAGCCTCGTCATGGTCCCCAAGGAAATTCGAAGAAGTTGAACTAAAAGCATACAACCTCATCAAATGGCTCGATAAGAGGAAGATTATAGTCAAAGGTATCAAATAAAATTTGAAGATTTATATCTGATAAACACTATTTTGATAAATTTCTAAAAAACTAGACAGGTGAGATCATATTCTTCCTATTTATTGGAAGGTATTTTGTTATCCTTTTCTTTTTTTAGGAAATCTTTTTTTATACTCACCTACTTATTAATGACATGATAGCGCAAAATTATATCGGACATTTGACTTGACTTACATGAATTTTATATGCTTTTATTACTGTTTTATTTTATTTATCTTCGATTACGCCTTTGTTTTCTTATGTTTTGTAGGTTACCATAAATATGGGCTAAAAAAATAAAAGGAGAAATAAATGAAGAAAATGGAAAGAAAAGAGGAAGAAAATAGCAAAGAAAGAAAAGAAGAAGAAAGAAAGAGAA